CCCCAAAACCCCAAAACCCCAAAACCCCAAAACCCCTTATGTTTGATATTTTATTGAGGTCGAGGAGGATATATTTTATAGATTAAGCTCAATACTTTTTCAGTATGGTCTCATTACATTACTTTACTTATCGTAGGCATGAACATGTCATCTATTTCATCTGAATATTCTGCTTTGACCGTTCCTATATCAGGTCTTGATTTAGTATAAGATGGAGTGAGATCTCAAATCCCATTTTGCTCTGATCCTGGTGGAGTTTTAGTATCTGCTGACTCGATATTTGCATTTTCGTCTATTTGAGATGATGCATTATTTTTACCTTGCTTCTTGATTGATTCAAATTTAGTCTGGAGGATAGACTCCTCGTATATCACACTGAGCTCTGTATCTTTCTAAATTTTAAGGTAATTAAAACGGAACGTTCTGGGCTTACTTTGAAGGCATCTTCTCTTTCAAATTTAGCTGAGTTTTTCTGATTGTTGACCTATCCAAATTATACAATTTCGTTGCTTGCGGTTACCTCTGAAACCCCCTGATTTTGTTCGTTAGCTTGTTTGGATTTTTGGATTAGAGTGTTAACTTTGGAAAGGTTCAGCTCTTCTTGAGAGATCATCCTAGAGGATTATTTGTCTGTCTTACATTTCAATTTCTTCTTGGAAATGTGCTCCTTGGAATGCTGATTCCTTGCCGTTGAGTTCATTTAGAGTTTTGAGGAATGCTTCAATTCATTCTTTACTCATTTCAAGCTAAGGTTAAGAGAGATGGCTTACATTATAGAGAGCTTTGCTGGTGTCACCTAGGTCGAGGTATAACTGACCAATGTAGAAATAGTCTTTGCTGATGTAAGTGCAGTTTCTGTCATAAGTTTGCTTATGAACTTTAAGCAAACTCTTCCACATTAGTAACCCAGAATTGTACTCTTTTAGCTTCTCGTACATTATCGCAAGATGTAAGTAAATTTGCTCTAGGTAAGGATGCGATCTGTTATTTGATACATATTCGAGTTCTTGGTGGAGAATCTCTTTGAATAAAGCGTTAGCTCTAGGATATTGCTTCTTCATGAAATACATAACACTTATGTGAATGTTGGAGATCAGGCTGTATTGATTTCCCATACTTTTGATATATTTTTCACAAATTTCAATCATTTTGACAGAATACCTTTCTGCCTTTTTGAGATCTTGGTTTCTCATAGAGGCGCAGACAACTCCTAAATAGGGATTTAGGCAGAATATAGACTTTGCATTGTAAAGCTCTGTATAACTTTTCAGTATTAATCTTGAGAGTCTCAATATTTTTGATCTGGCTTTCTTACCATTCCTGAGCAAGTAAATTTGGATATATGCCTGCCGGATTAGGATATGTGTGTGCGTCGCATAGAGTTTCTCATAATATCCAACATCAAAATAATTCTCGTGTAGTTGGTCTTCAATATATTTGTAGAATGTACCAGCCTCTTCAAAATTTGAGCTATCTTTTGCTTCACTAAAAAGAGTGTTTTCTGGGATCTCGTCAAAATACCTAGTATCTACAGTATATAAGTTGATGTTATCTTGATAATCATATCTTTTCAGCTTTGTGTCGGCAATTCTTCTGAAAGAGTTTAGGAACTTCGGACTTTTGGTCCCTAAGATCTTCTCGTATATCGAGTTAGCTCTTTCATAGTGGCGATATGGGCAATAACTGGTGGTTTCCATAAGAAAGTCTGCAGTGAACACTATTTCTGTGTCTTCTCCTTTAAGGTATCCTTTGAAGAATCATTTTTGGGCCTGTGATTCAAAGTATATAGCTTTCTTCACCTCCATTCTGCTCCTGTAGATCGAAGAAATCATCAATAAGGTTCTTGCAATTCTCATATCTATTCTGAATTGAAGTTCAGGGGGATTTGACTGGTCAACCTTAAGTTGTGTGCTTCTTAGCCTAAAATAAAATTAATTAACGTAAGTACAAAGTACGTACTTCCTCTCGTTTGAGTATACTTCAGTTAGAATGGAGATAGCTTTAATGTCATCACATGAGAGATGGTATAGCCAGGCTTTCCTCTTCTGAAGCTGATTCTGAAGATATCCTATTTTGAAGACGATCTCGGACGTCTCCTCCTTTTCTAATTCTGACAGGTAATTGCTCTGCAACTTTTCGTAAATTTGCATGTAACTTTCAGCTTTCTGGATGAATTTGAGTTCTGAGTGAAGCTGGCTTATTCTGTAATAAGACTGTGATAAATAGAAGAGCTCTGTTGGTCTCATAGCTTCTTTCTTTCGCAACCTATCAATTAAATTAGTGAATCCATAAAGTGCTTCTTGGCATCAGCCTATTTTCTGCATTCCTCTTGAGAGTAGGAATTCAGCCTAAAGAGAAGATTAGAGAAATTCAAGTAAGATAGTTTAAATAACAACTTTTCCCAATGCCAAATAAGTTATGTTTTCCAATGAGTTGCATTAAGGAAGAGAAGCTGCTTAATTTACAAATTTTGGAACAGAGTAGAATAGCCAAAATCGAACTTCCGTCTTAATACTGACCTCTATCTTCAAATCATTAAGCTTGTTGGCCTGGTAGACTCTCTCCTCCTGATTGAGAGGGATAGCAATCTCATCGTTCATAATATCTTCTAGACTACTGAAGTATTCAGTGAGTTTTCCTTTTTCAAGCAATTGTATAGCGGGAATCATATTTTATTTATAAAGGTTCATTATTAATAACTGATGCAGGGGTTTTGGGGTTTTGGGGTTTTGGGGTTTTGGGGTTTTGGGGTTTTGGGG